CGGATATCAGTTCCTAGTGGACAGCATGAATATACGATGCCCTATTGTGCCGAGGGTAGATGAGTCGGTCTGACGTCACGCTCTCAGGCGAAAGTTGATGAGTTCCGTTGCCGGTTGGGATACTCCCGTTTCCTCTTTCCAAGGTTGGAAGCAGTGGGGAGAAAGCAGTACATCACACTCTGTAGTAATCATTAAGCCGTGGACAGTGTCTTCAAAAATTACAGCATTTTTGACCGACGGTGTTGTGACAGAGGTCATAGCCGAATTAAAAACTACATGAATATGAAGTGTTGCAAATCGTCGAAGGGTACGTTCTTTTCTCTTTCACCTTGACATACAGTAAGTAGTTTTTCTTTTCACTCCTGTCACCGGCGCTGACGACTTTCAATTTTGCCGATACACAGGTAGCTAATCGACGGCTTACCAAACAATGAAAACAGTGCAAATTAAGTTAAAAATGGAATACCGAGACCGAGTTTATATTAATAAAACCAAGAGATTTTGGACTTGGGCAATCATGGAACCCTGCAGTTTTGGACAACACGAAACACTGTTTATTTGCACACAACAAACACCTTGGTCGATCGAATGATTGATCTGTAGCGATGATTCGACCCATGTCCCAGGGGCCTTCTTCAAAGCGGAGATATGGCCTTCTAGCTTTGAATATACGGACTGCTGTAGATTACAGAAATGAATTTTTCAGTTCACTCAACTCTTTACTTCGAGGAAGACTCGTGGAATATGGGCTGAACCAACGTAGCTACTGGTGAATCGTCCGTTCGGCCATGTTTATAAGCAAACCATGCTTTGTGGTGATTTCAGTATGACTACCGACGCATGAACTAAACGCTCAAATTTTTAGACTACTATATTCAATAAATATGTCCTTTTCTGAAAATGCGTCACATCATACTTCATTTATACGTAATTATTAATGCCCAATTTTTGTTCGCGAATAGCTTCCGCGTGTCTTTTGCTCGATTAGAAGGCCATGCGATCATCCCTTCCAGTTTAATCACCCTGCAACACCTGACGACGATTTTTCTATACTACGCCTTGCCTAATTATTCATTTGGCATCTTGGCGAGTCCTGAGGCGAAGATTTCATCTTAATGTGGCAATATACATTAGAAATGTCGTTTCGTTGTCCTGCCTTGAATTTTCGCTGGAACTTTGGTAGAGCTGGGACAAGAGTTAGCAAGCCTGTAAGTTTCCTTCACGAAGGAAACCATTGGTTTCAGGATCTAAACGGCGGCCGTTTTTTTTCAGATTGGAACAAAAAATGGTAATGTGAAAGGAGAATAAAAAAGAGAATAGGAAGTTTTCATCAATCTTGATGAGGACGTCTTCTATGGCTGCTGCGAATAACCGGTGATATTGCTTCTCCCTGTTGAACACCGTCTGATTTAGTGAAGATTTACACTAGCAGTTACATTTTTGTAAATCATGACGATGAGGCTTCTGTATCATCTCCTCAAGGAACCCAGTACTGAACGGGTGTAGGCTGAGTCGGAAGCCTGCTCAAAATCTGCGAATCCCAGGCACAGAGGATATTGATATTTGCTGCCTTGATTGAATTACTTGTTTTACCACCTGGAGATAGTCCATCGTACTAAATTCACCACTTGATCCAACTTGGTCGTTTGACTGTGCAGCGTCAAGTTTTTCCTTGAAGTCGGTTCTTCAGTTCCTTTGTGAAGATCTTGTCGATGCTTGACAGCAGACTGATAGCTCTCTCTGTCTCCATTTTTGTCGAGTGAAATCACCCATGTGGTAATCTAACTGTCTGGAATTTCCAGTTCCTTCAGGTAGTGTGAAGGCAAGCTTGGTGATATCTTGGTCAGTGCTACGTTTCCTGATTCCGTGAGTTCTACTGTAATGCCATCTTCACCAGGAGCCTTTTCCCTTTTACCAG